GTACTTCGTCAAATGATTCGGCCCGAATTAGTTAGAACTCGATCGATTGCTCGGAATGGTCGTCAATGGGTCCCTTCTCTTTGCTCGTCTACCCTACAGCCACACGCACTGCGTGTGTTAACCCTGTCGAGGAGTCGAGTGGATTCCCCTAAGCATGATTTTCGCTCGGTAAAAGGGGTTGCCTCCCCATTTTCTAAATTGCTGAATGTTAGCATTTAAAAAATGTGGGTATCCTCTTCTTTTGCCGTCTACCAGCCAGGTGTAGCCATATCCTGCATTGCGGGAAACTTCGTGTTCCGGGCGAAGCACCTGAAATCATGCTTAGCGGGTCCAGGTTCGATACGAGATAGGATAATTATGCGCGAAAAAGAGTTGGTGAACTTTATTTTCCTCTATTCCTCAATCGTTTCGTCTTCTTTCCGGTTCGGGCCTAATCTTTGCTCGTTGTATCGTTGCACTCCCGATCTGTTGGCTCAAAGTTAAGTCTCGTAAATGAAATGAGATTTTCGCTCGTACCGAAACCGGGAGTGCCGTTGAAAGTATATATATATTAAATATATACATCGCGCGACCAAATTTTTAATCCGAATACCGAAGTAGTGCGGGAGTGCCGTTTAGTATCGCGCGTAAAATAATGAAAATAGCGATATAAAAATATCGCTCGTGAGTGCGGGAGTGCCGTTGAAAGTATCGCGCGTCAACAACATGAGAGGAGGAGGAGGCCTGGGAGAGGCATCTTGCATCGGCGGAGCAACCTGATGGTGAATATTTATTATTTGTATATCAATTGTTATAAATCGTACGCATAATAATTCGATCTTATTATTTAAATGAATTAAAGAGAAAATTAGAGAGAAAGATTTTTATAAAAGTTATATAAAACTTTTTAAAAAACTTTCTTAAAAAACAGTTTTAAAATTTCATAAAAATTTTCCACACGTGTTTATCTCTGCTTATTATTTTTCACATCGGATATAAAATTCCGCGCGATAAAATTTTTTGAAATATTGATTGCATTTTGTGAGCATTAATATAAATGAATTTTATATTTGTATGTTACAGACAACTAGCTTCGATAACAACAACTCCGCTGTTGCGCATCAGTGCCGGTGAGTGAAAAAAACTTTTATTTAACTTTAAGGTAACGGATTCGTAGAGATTGCAAATGTAGATGTAGATGTAGATTGTAGATTATAGATAAATCCGTTGCTTTAAAATGGATGAGCTAGGATAGATTAAATTAAATAAATGAAATTAAATAATTTAATTAAATTAATTAAATTAAATGATTTTAATAAGTTCTTTCAAACTTATGCTTTACATCTATTGCGAAAATATATTGAAATATTAATTAAAAAAAGAAGAGATCAAGAAAAGATTTTTTTGTACAGATTTTGTCTAATTTATTAAATAAAGGACAGCCATTAACAATTATTAATTTTATCAATTTTTGATGCTAATTTATTCTTATAATACGCACTTATTTCGTAATTGCTCATAGCTTATCCATCGTAGAATTTATTTGTAGATATTGTTTTTAAACTTTACATTAACTTAATATAAAGCCAAATGATTAATTAATTAAATAATTTGTAATATGATAAATATACACACATTAATTATATATTTTATTATAAAATATAATTTAAAGAAATAAAATATAATTTATAGAAATTTGTAGTAATTTGGCTTTATTTCAGTTAAAATAAAGTTATATTCAATATTTAACGAGCGATCGTGAAATCAAACGATCGTTACTAAATGAGCGTAAATATTTCACGCTCTTTTGCCGGTAATTATCCGGCAAAGAAAAGGAGTAATTATCTCCTTCTTTGGTCTCTGATTTGAGATCGAGAAAGAAAGTGGCCAGGATCAACGAAAGGTAGAGTCAACTGACCTGAAGAAGTACGCGATTAGGGCACGCGATTAGGGCACGCGGTTAGGACACGGGATTAAAATATATATACATGATTAGGTAAGATGATTAGAGATAAAAAAAAAAAAATATATATATATAAATATATATATAAAAACATATATAAAAATTATATATATTCGCAATCAGTCGAATAGTGAATTAAATATTAATATATACCAAATGAATTTATTTTATTTATATATATAAATATTAAACGAATTAATCGAACGTATGCATTCCGATTCATCTTTTTGTTCGATATATATAAGTATTTAATCAATTAATCGAACGATTACATTCTGGTTCGCTTTTTCGTTCGGTATAAATATTTAACGAATTAATCGAACGATTGCATACGGCTTGCCATTTTACTCGCCGCTTTACAGTGAATATCGTGCGAGAGAGGCAGGCAACATGTGCGGCGTCGTGCACGATTTCGACCGTCCGCGCGCAGACGAAAAACGGCCAATTTATAACTCGACTTCCGGACGCGATAGCGATTTCGTTCTTTTTGCATAAAATTCTACACCATTTCGCGGCACTACCGGTTAAATCTCGTCCCGATCGCCGGAGGAGCGGCTGACTTACAGTGAATATCCGAAATCTGATTCTTGGACTCACACTTAAGTGTAATATTTATATATATCGAATAAAAAAGCGAGTCGGAACGCAATCAGTCGAATAGTGAATTAAATATTTATATATACCAAACGAAAAGATGAATCGGAATGCATTCGTTCGGGATTAATTCGTTAAATATTTATATATATAAATATTAAACGAATTAATCGAACGAATGCATTCCGATTCATCTTTTCGTTCGATATATATAAGTATTTAATCAATTAATCGAACGACTACATTCGGGTTCGCTTTTTTACTCGATATATATAAATATTACACTTAAGTGTGAGTCCAAGAATCAGATTTCGGATATTCACTGTAAGTCAGTCGCTCCTCGGGCGATTGGGACGAGATTTAAACGGTAGTGCCGCGAAATAGTGTAGAATTTTATGCAAAAAGAACGAAATCGCTATCGCGTCCGGAAGTCGAGTTATAAATTGGCCGTTTCGTCTGCGCGCGGATGGTCGAAATCGTGCACGACGCCGCGAATGTTGCCTGCCTCTCTTGCGCAATATTCACTGTAACGCGGCGAGTAAAATGGCAAGCCGAATGCAAACGTTCGATTAATTCGTTAAATATTTATATATACCGAACGAAAAAGCGAACCAGAATGTAATCGTTCGATTAATTGATTAAATACTTATATATATCGAATAAAAAAGCGAGTCGGAATGCAATCAGTCGAATAGTGAATTAAATATTTATATATACCAAACGAAAAGATAAATCGAAATGCATTCGTTTCTCCTCGTTTCTCCTCTGAGAACATTCATGGAGATTGGCTTTCATGTCTATGTTTTCAATGTCCATAAAGGGAGTATCGCTTTGAGGGATCACCTAAAAGCGGGCCATCTTTCAGTCTTCTCTCTGTTTGACAGCTGATGATATCAGCTGATTCGTGTTGAAAGCGCATCGTTGGTAAAGTTGGAAATAATAGCAATTTTATCGACCGAAGATTAAAATACTTGTGCATGTGCTTTGACATCATGCTCGCCAGATGGCGATACGAAATATCTATGATTTGCGCTGCCATATGCATTTTTTTAGTGTTCTTACTAGTGTTGGTGCGCGAACGTGCGTCGCGATTTTTTTAATCAGATTTTCGTATAGAAATTCGAATCTTTGCATAAACTTGATAGTGCATCTCACAGAGTAAGATACTTTTATTTGATTAGACTTTTATGTGTGAAGATAGTATTATTTATACGCAAGGATCGATTCGATTTTTTAAGGCAAGGTTGAAGTAAAACGGAGTGAAGTGCACGGATAATGGAAATTCTTTGTTTTATCGAAACTGCAATAATGCAATTTTATCCAATTTTCTTTTATTTCCGATGTTATCTGATCCATGCTGTGATGGACATACGCAGTGTGCGTATCTGCATGAATCGCCCGATCGGTGAGTCGAGTTCAATTTTTTTCATTATATTTTTCGCCTTCGTTTCTAGCATTTAATTCGCATATGTATTTGGAGCCTGTATCGTTATTAGATTTCTACAGATTGCAGAGATTGATGATAGCTTCGATTAAATGAATTTGTGTAGCTCTCTTGTCAGATGGGCGAATGTGTAATGCATGTATAACATAAATCTTTCCTTCATGATCAGACAGGAACAGACAAGTCAAAGCGCGCGAAAACAAAATGGAGTATGTCTTACGAATTGATATGATGTTTAAATCAAATATACATATGCGAATAAATGTTTATATGTGTAAAATATATGTATGTATGAAAACATGGAAGATTTTAGTTAGGATTTTATTCTGGACGTGTGGAAATTTTTTTCTGCCGCGATTTTTGTATTGAAAGATGATCTTTCGTCGAGAAATATGATACCCTCATCGAGTTTACAGTCTACTTTTTTTATGCGCGATTTTCGTTAATGCATCAAGATTACATCAAGATAACAATAATATTGCATAAAAACACAAATTTAAAAATCGAAAAAATATATATATATATATATATATATATATATATATATAACAAAAATTAAATTTAAAAAAAATCGAAGAGAGTATGCTTTCTTTAAGAATCAAAGTGAGAGAGGGAGAATAAGAGATACGAAAAATTGCGTATAATCGATATATTTCATATTCTTCAGATTATTATAGTCACGTAATAAAGAAGCGGCGTAATTAACATTATAATAGCTATTTTTCTCGCAAACAATCGCATAGTCCAAGCACGCATTTACGATTCAATGCACGCAATCGATCTATTTTAATTCTTTGTAATTTTGCTGTTTTATTAATAACATAGAAAATACAAAGTTACAAATACACGCGGCCGCATCGCTCGCAGCGATTACAAGAGCCTTTCTCGTGTTACATCACCTGTGCAAGAGGAGAGAGCACGTGGCTCTCCTCGCTCTGTATGGTTTTACACATCCATTATTTAAATATTAAATTAACGAACATGCCGTTATACATTAATGCTCGATTAAATACAATAAAGGTATTCTATCATGTAACATACAAAATATGTGGATATATTAATGATCTGTTTCAATTCTGCGTGAACGTCCATATCTGTGCATTCGGACTTTGGTATATATTTTTATTTCTTCGTGTATATATAATTACTTTTGTAAATATATTTTAGGCAAAGCATGATACGTGGTCATGTTTTAATGAAACGAGTGAGAATGAGAGGGATTTAAGATTCTAGATAAGTAAGTTTTTTTCTCATGCAGAACGGAAACAGGATCTCAGACTAGGCTCGCGTCCGAGGTCTTCTCAGCGTAAACTATGATACTACGCTATGACACATCGCTTATCGCATAAAATGATCATTAAGTAAAAGACACGTCCTCGCATCCTCTTAAATCTACATAATTTTAGCGATGCGACTTCTCGAGTCCTTTTCGCCGACGAGAGTTCCTGCTCGTGAAAGAGGCAGTTCTTTTTAACCGTTTCTCTTCAAGAGTTATAATTAGAAGCACTGTATATCACTAATAATTTTGCAGGGTAATCACTAATTTATACATTACGTCACATTATTCTAAAAATTGCTCGAAAGTTGTACAGAATGTTATTTTCCTATCTCAAATGACGTGTGTGCAAAATCTTGGATATTTATTTATTTTTATTTTCACCGCGCATCGCGATAAACCGCGATAAATATCATTAATGAAAGTATCCTCGTCATTGTCATAAACTTCGAAATATTTTACTATTCTCGACAATTACTGGTATTGAAATTCAACGATCACATTATTACCATCGTATCCTCGTTGACCAACAATAGAGAAGAAAAAAGCAACGATACATATAGCCTGGATAGCGATGTACATTTATACATTTAATGACGAGAGGATACGTGTACACATATACATTGTATAATGAGTCTCTTTCTCTCTCTCTTTCTCTCTAACGAAGACACACTTGAAAAAAAAAAATTAAAAGAAAATGGCACCATCAATTTTTCGTGCGTTTCATCGCGTTCTCTTTCTCTTCATTGGCACGACACGAATTTTATGCAATCATTATTCTTCTTTCCTTCTCTATCCGATATATATTCGGTATATATATTTATCGCGATTTTTTTAACTCCTTAATCGGTGTTTTAGATTCGAGCGGTAGTCTGACATTGCGTTGAAGGTGTCCCTTTTTTCTGGGCATTTACCTGATAAACTTATGTACTCGCCGAATTCGCAGTTAGGCATGGCACATCGATTTTTCTGAATGCATCTGCGATCAAAGATTAAGTATGATATTATAAATGAGGATTAATCGATCAAAATAAAATTTTTAATATTTTTTTTCTAATTATTCTATATAATCTTAATATTAAAATAATTTTGCAATATTATAAATATAGTTTGTTAAAAAAACAGTTGATCAATTTTTATTGGAATAACAAGACTTAACTTATTTTGATTATATTTGCAAATGTTTGGCAGAGTGTATTCAAGTTGAATTTAAATGTAGACACGGTGAAACTTTACCGTACAGTACGTATACAAATTCGCTATATTGTCTTGTAAATGTCAGTGATTAGTATGCAAGTGCTACAGTACGGTTTTATCATATTTTTAAACTCGTGTAATTTGCATTGTAATATTTTGCAAAGTGTGTAGCAAAATTTCAAAGACAGTCTAGACATACTCACATTCTGTCTGTAAAGGAGAAAAATCCCTTTCCGCGTCTGATCCTTATACAATTTTGATTCTTGTCGAAGCAATTACACTGACAAGTGCCTTCCAGCGTGATTTTCGGCGTGAATTCTGATGGGCATCGGCATCTGTAAATTTTTTTTATCGCACAGCAACGATATTAAATGATAATTAAAATTTTCTTCTTTTCTAAATCGTTTCAGGCAAAGTGACACGTCAGAGAAATACGAAAATAATAGAATTAAATATTTTTTAATTTCCATCAGAGAGTTACTTATTAAAAATATTTAGCTAAAAAAATATATACTCACGGCTCTTTCAACGGTGGTTTTTTTATGTTTTGTGGAGGCGACGAAGAGTGTCGATATACTCTCTGATCCATGGGTTTCTCGTTTATCATGTTGTACTGGGACTTCTTCTCGCATTGGCATTCCGTATGATTGTAGAACGATAGCTTCTCCACTACGCTGACGCCGGCCACGTTCGAGGTCTACAATAAAATCAGAAATAAACATTACCATAGGACGCACGCTTTCATAAACGTGCGCGATATACGCATAATCAACGTCGTAAACGATACTTTATGTTCCGAAAGGGTCTGAAGAGCGCTTGAAGCTCTCTCTGTTCCTCTCGCGGGGATTCTTTATATTTCGCTATTTCATTATTTATACACTAATATTTATTCGCACGCCACATTGCGGGAACGTTTATACACGGAAGTTTCTACGATAAGTAAATATCGCCGTGCAAAGTTGGAACTACTTGCGATACGCAACTTTGTAAATAATAGTACGCGATGCAAGAAGCCAGATAGCCTTTTATTCGTTCATTATTTGTAACTGTATAAGGTATTGTAGAACTACCTTCTTGTGCAGATTTTTTAAGACTTTGCACAGTAAAAAATAAAATGTTAATTATAACATTTTCACATGTCCCAGAAAGTCCACTCTAAATTTCAAGTTAAAATAACCCATTCGTCGTTACTTATTGACAAACTAAAAATGTTAAATAATTGACGCGATACTTTACATTTATTTTTGTGACTTTAAGTGTAATGTAAAAATAATATACAAATTAATTAAAAATTGCATGAAAAAATAGTTACAACAACTCGTAAGAAATGTTGAGGATATTAACATATAATAATAATTATTTTAACTTAAATTATTTGTAATAGAAACATTTGATTTTAGTAAATTTGATTATTTTTGTATGTCAAAGTTCAAGATTATTTGATTGTTTAAAATGATTATGTTAAAAATACTTATGTTAAAAATAATATTCCACTTTCAAGAGACATATATAAAGGGTTAAATTATAAAGTTGACATAAATGTAAACACATGAAAATGTTATAAAAATAATAACATATAGGTTGTATGTTAATTTTACGTTAAAGTACTAATCAAAACGTGACGTCACAAGAAAATATTAACATATGGACTCACAATTTTTTACTGTGTAAGATCGATTTTTTTTTTTCAGAAATGAATAACGTTTTATGTAAATAAGTTTTCTTGAGTAATTTTCATTATTATCGTGTCGATTAACCGGATTGCTATTCTCGTACCGATCGCAAATGCAAAAGTGAACCTTTGGACGTAACAGTCGAGCATTCTTATCGTAGTATCGACGTCGTGATCTCATGCTAGAGAGCAATGAGAGCAACGAGACCGGAGGCTGCATAACATTACGGCAATACTTAAAAAACTAGACGATCCGACCCGGTTCTAATTGGGTTCAATTAACCTGACTCACACTTTGTGAGAGAGTCTGCACAACATACTAGAGACGTTTACCGATTGACACGGATACTGTTGGAGCGCGGGAGCTATCCGCATTGTTGGGCCGCATTTAGCCCGCCTTTAATCGGCTCTAATTGCTCTGAGTCACTACTCGTACCCGATTTCTGCTTGTATCTGGCGCATTCCGATCGGTCGTCGTATCAATAATTGACGTGGAATTAATGCACGATATAAATAAACGCGCAATTAGTCGATACAATGCATTGCAAGTCTTGAAATATAAATGGTCTACAATAAAATCAACAGATCGGATAAAAAGTAATTAATTTCAGATTTTCGTTCGAGAGAATCTTGTCTGGCTGTATCTGAAATAATATTTGCGTATTCCGAGACATCGTATATTATGGATTTGATTTCGTTTCTACTGCTCGTTCATGACGGGATTGTTTATTATAGCGTTTTATTACTTACTTTTATGTCTTATATTTTCTTGCTGCTTGTTATACTATGACGCAGTTTCGATTAAATGAAAAATAATAATATTTCACGGTTAATTGAAAGTTGGAAAATCACTGGTGAGAGAAATTCTAAGGCGGTGACACGCACCGCATCGTAAGCGGCCGCATCTCGCGCTCGTAATTATACTGTTCTCGTAATTGGCAACGGACTGATGTTCATTGTGCGTGATAGAAAGCTCGTCGTACGTGACTCACGGATTACCCCCGCGAAGCAAAGATTCACGGTGTGCATTATTACCGGCGTGTTTAAAAATCTACGGACACGTTGACTGCAACAGCGAAATTTCGTAACGACAGAACGCGAAAACGCAAGAGAAATGCATTAAAAATTCAACTCTCGCGAATTAACTTTCATCACGATAATGAAAAAAATCGCAGAAATCGCAGAAATGATTTATAAATTGATAATACATTACATGCTATATGAAAATAATTAATTTTTGAATTTCCAATCTGCGTAGTGCGAGTATTTCGAGCTTTTGCAAATTTCCTACGCACGTGACATTTAACAAATATCCACTTCATTACGCGAAATTTATGAACTGTACATTCTCTTAACATGGCTGAAACGCGAAAGCAACTCGTGTTAAATAGGTCGAGTACTCGATCACCGAGATCAATGATAATGAACGACACGCGGTACGGTACGTTGTGTCCGGTCGAAATCCGGTGTGTAAGCGATCAATCGCCGTTAAGATTTTATTTAGCGGATTGTCGTGACCACGAAGTTGCGCGTCGCTCGATTAATGCCCTTTCGCCACACAAGGCAACGTACGACGATTGCGACAATCGCACATTTCTCGCGACGTTATTAAAATTACCCAAGGGGCAGGATTGCGACAGCCACTTTACGCGATGGCTTTAAAAGCGACCGGAAAACCGCGCAATATATAATTCTACTCGTTGCGATGGTCGATATTAAGGTTTTCCTGTCTGAAAAAAATCTCTTTAGCGGAAAAAATCAAATTAATTAATTAAATTGGATTTAAAATATCGGTAGATAATTTTATATTAAGGACTCTTTAAATGCATCGCGTAAAATTGGGAATTTAAATCTTCGCGACAAATTGCATCTAAGAATTGCACAGGACTTTTTTGCCTTGATAAAGTGCACGGTTCTCGCTGATACTTCTCTTCTTTGTACTACGAGCTGCATTCGCGAAGAGCAGTCTCCTTCTTTCTCCGACAAGCTTTGTCAGGTTGGTATACGAGGATTGAGATTCGCGATCGTCTCTAACGAATAACCACGTCGAGAGATCGTGATCGTAAATTTCATGTAGTGCTGTATGTAGGACGTCCTGTGGTGAACGTATCAGAATTGTGCTTAATATCACTTTTACTATTTACTATTTCAATTTTATTTAAAATATTCGAGGTTATTTTATCAGTGATTAGTCTAATTTATGCAAACTCGTTTCGCGATTACCCAGTCGATTAATTCTCGTATTCGATTTGTATCTTATTACGTGTATTTTTCTTTAAAATTTTTCTAATTTTTTTTCATAACATACGAACAAATGTTTTAATAACTGCAATATTATTATAACAAAAAATTGTCAAGATTAGAGAAGATTAAAAGAACAATAATTATAGGTGTATACATATGTTTCCTCGAATCGAACGTCTAGTTACGAGTTTCGTGAATTTCTTTGCGTGCATCAGCATCATCATACGAGCGAGAATAATGCACCTCCTCCAAGGGATGCATAGAAAGGTAGCAGCGTGGCACGAAGTTCCGCCGGTCTCATGTTTCAAGATTTTTGTCGGAAAGCGACGTGGAACAGTATAGGTATATTTATAAGATGCAGCTTACGACTCCACGCCCATAAAATCAGTATAAAGTCAGTTTGGAATTGTCCCTGACGGCGATTTTATATGTGTAAATTTTATAATAAGTATAAAGTAATATTCTATCACATTTCTCGTATTCATTAAACTCTATAAATGATACGACGATAAGTTGAGACGATCAACCGCGACATTGAAATTCGATGAAAATTACACGATATACAACGTTATATTTATTATCAATCTCGAGTAATAACGCAATTTTAAGCAGCACGTCGGTGAAATATCCCAATTTGCATCTCTCGGGATCGTAATTTTTCGATACACATAGTTACCGTGATCGCGGTGCGTAATTGTAATAGGCGTAGGAAGCAAAGAACGTTGCGAGAGGCGCATGTGATTTTCATAATGCCGCGATGGGTGATTTGCGAGAGAGTTTCTTCGGCGAAGGCACGCCGTGAGTCGTCCCGAGTAGACCGCGGCAAATTCCGGAATTTAATTTCCGCGAGGATTATCCCTTTCGCGGGATCGGAGCAGCTGACTGGTCGCCTCATTAACATTCGCCGTATCTCGCTCCGGGCGCTCGTTCGTGAATGAAACACAGGAACCCGGCACGAAACCAGGCGCACGCCTTTCTGGAACGAGATCGGTGAACCGTGTCCGGGGTGATCCGTTTCTCAGATGAATATCCCGTGTTTACCGAGACAATATTGCGCTACGTTACATCGAAATTGCTCTACCAATGACGTCGAATTTTTCGCAATTTATTTTATCAATTCAGGAAAATAATCCCGAATTAAATCTCTTAAGTTTTTTTTTTGTATATAATTTTTTTGTATTGTCACTTTTGCAATTTAAAAAATTGTATACTTTATATTGTATACTTTGCATTTAAAAAAAATTGTATACCTTTTATTTTTTTCATTTTAGATCACTTTAGAATCTAAATCACTTTTATTTACTTGATAAAAATTGGCGAACAATATTTTTCATTTCTTAATTTTAAATTCCATTAAATCTCTCTTGAATACATGCATTGGGAGGATGCATCTATGGGTATAAGTTTCTTAGACCTTTCTAAACTTTGCTTTAAAATACGAGAGCAAAATAAACCGTGGATCGCTTATGCTTTGACATTTCATAGCGGATATTTTTCACGATTGCTATTAAAGATATTATTTTACACATTGTAAATGTTTATAACCCTATCAATATTCATAATTCCCGTTAATATTATTTGCACAATCATCTGAGGAATGTTTTCACTATAATAAAGGCGTCTATCGAACAGATGCCACATGTCGCATGACGTCTCATATACAAAGTTATCAGGTGTCTCGAATGTCGCGAGGGCTTATTGTATCTTAAAGAGTACAGACTAAACAATGTCGCCGAATAAAATTCTTGCTGCAACGCAAGCCTTCGTACACTTCACTAAAA